AGAGGGGGCTCAGTAGACAATGGAATGGGTGATTGGTACCCTTTGGATTTGGGTCTGTCCTGTCCCATGCCTTCCGTTGGGGGAGCCGATACGCCATCAGGGCCAAGCAAACCGTTGACGGTTCCCTGGTATGGGATACTCGTGCCGTGCCACAGCCTTCTCCATGGTTCCCCATGTTGTGTGGTCATTTGACCGGCACTAGAGCCTGTAAGTGTATCGGGCGTTGCAGGCAGAACTTAAACCCATCAACTTTGTAGAATGGGTTACCTTTGTGTTAGAGCGTCAGCTAACCCTTTTAAGTTCTGACCGCCTGAGTGCTCCGCAACGAACCACAATCCTTGGGCAGATGGGCCTGATTCTGGCAGCGCAGAGTCGCTATGTGCCACATCCTGCAAGTCCATACTGTGCTTTTGGCAGGAGCAGTTTCGGTCATCCAGATGGAGTCTATACATTGATTGGTATAACGGAATTACCAAGGTAGCCGATTTTTCTTGCATTATTTGATCAGGGAAAATTTATATTGACGATTGTTGGATATCGATCGGTTTTGTTCCCAGTTTTATCAGAATCTGCTGGACTGAAACTGGCATCAAGTTTGATTATGCTACAACTGTTTAAGTCTTTTCGCGTGCTAACGAATCCTCCAGATTGGGACTTGTCGTTGGTCCTGACGATGTTATGACACCCCCCTTCGAGCCTATGGAAAGACAACATGAAGTAGGTCACTATGAAAACAGTTTTTTGTTTGGCTCTCGTGCCAGGTAGGCTGTGTTAAGAGATCAGAGCACTGTCCTTCAGTGACGGATGTGCCTTCTTTATGAACCCACAAGTTATTTTGAAGACTCGGATGGGCTTTCTTGCCAAGGACCAAATCCCAGGGCGTGACCCGGAACCAATCGTCATCCCACGCCTCACTAACATAGTGGGCACGGAAGACCATTAGGAATGGATTCTATGTCCTGTCTGAGCTTTGAGCTGGTACTTCGATCGCATCAAGGTGTCTAGGGGCAGCAAGAAGCACATGTTTGTCTGTTATTGGCGAGGCAAGCAAAGTCACCCTGCCTCAAATATCACCATTGATTGTCGATATGGTCGTGGAAGCATATAATTTAACGGTTTCTTCAATGACCAGTTTCGAACGTCACCAGGTGAGGGTACACAAGATGCACGAAGTAGCCAATTCTTTGGACCTGATGTCTGGTGCCTCCCTCGCGCAGGTTCTCCGAGCAGGGTTCTGGAGATCTCAGAATGTCTTCATTAACTATTACCTGAGAGACCTCCAATCTATGGAGGAGGGTCTCTACATGTTGGGACTAGTGGTGACTGGTCAGATAGTGTTCATGGACCCAGCCTGTACCACCAAAACCGTTAGCACAATAGCACCTTCAGCTGAAACCAGCCTCTTTTTGCTTGGCGCTGCTGGTTTCGATCTGTGCTATACTGTTTAATACATTAAAATTCCTTGGGCCCTATTTTATTATTCAGGTGGCCGGCTTTAGTAAGCCTCCCTAAATTGAGGGGGGGGGTCTACTTTCAAGGCCCTGAAGGTCCCTGAAGAGTCACCTGAGAAAGAGGTGGTGGAACTTTCTCTTCCACGGGTGGTCGCCCCTCCCCCAGGTCACAGGGGATGCTAGTTTGATGCTTCCGTCTATGATGATGTGGATGGGCAAGTGTTCGGCAAGGGACCAAGTCTGAGCTTTTCAACTCTTACTCTTACAATGTAAAACA